ATGGTTTAGTTGGAATAAATGATTTTGACTTTGACTTTGACTTTGATTATATTGCGCTAAAGAAACAGAAATAGAATACAAATGTAAGAATTTAGAGAAAAACAACAATTAGTTGATTTCCCAAAAAAAAACTGTATTATTCATATAGTACTTTTATTTGTTATGTCATGAAACCGTCTACATCCAGAATATGTATCATCATCATCATCAGCCTACAAGTACTTACTACTGAGCAAAAGGCCTGTTCTTACACGGAAAAAGATTTCAGCATTAATTACTACGCTTGCTCAACTCGGATTAAGTTTTCAGACTAATCATTAAAAATGGAAGCCTAATTTTCCAAACAATATTTTCTTTCATCATATGGCATTAGCGTCTAAATAATCTTAGAAAGTAAAACTAGGAAAAAACACATTATTATATAATTTCAAGGCTTAAAACCCTTATGAATGAGCAGCCTTTTCCTCCTGACTATACTATTAGCAATTTTAATTTGAAAAATCCATTACACTGAGCCACAGCGTGAACTCAATCATGATAACCGGAATAAGAAAATTTTAATGGGATTATTAATTACTAGCATTACTGTCCGCGAAAATAAATAGCTAATTAAACTGTCTACATAATGTCCTGATTGTCCAAAAGGTACAAACAAACACGTGACCAAATCATAAGTGTGATCTTATCCTCAAGTGTACCATAAGGTCAAATTTTATACGACACTCGAACAAAGATTTTCGATGTTATAAAATGATAATGTTGTAAATATTTGCAATGAAAATTGCACTTTAGATAGTGGAGTAATACCTGTTTGACTATTTTATTTTCATTTATTATGTTGGTTATTTGTGTATTTAAAACGTACTTACTTCAAATCGTACAAATAATTTTTGGAAAAAATAATCAAAAGACTTCTGCCCTCCTCTACTCCTACTCGAGAGAGAGAGAGAGAGGGTCCGACTCTTCTCCACTCCACTTTTCTTAAACTCTTCCTGTCCTTCTTTTTCTCCGAGCTTAGATCGCGAAACGATATTTGCCCCTACGATTTAATACGGTTTTGGACTTGCAACCTTGGCCCTAGTGTGATGATGGTCTAATGGTTTGACGACAGCTGGGCGTTTTTTCCCTCATATACATTGTAAGTACATAATTTTTGCAACATTAATGCAATGATGTCCATGGCCAGACTCCATGCTATAATATAGCAAGAAATTATCGACAAATGTTAAATTCCAACAATTATTTACCCGGCACAGGTATCGGACCCTAAACTTTTTACTCGGTTGTCACAGTTGCGACCACTTTGTCCGACACAGTAAGGTACCGAAATTATAACAAAGTAAATATATATTTTTAATTTAATTTTTATTTAAAATTTTAGTGCCAATATTATGGGCTGATTTTTTATTATGAGGCTGCTCCAATGTTACGGATCTCCATGAGCGAAGCCGATTGCTTACCATCAGGTAATCCGTTTGCTTATTTGACGTACTTTTACATAAAAAAAAATAAAGATAGAAATCAAGTCTGCATATGAGATATTTTTTAAACCCTATAACACCTAATCTCTAACTTGTCAATTAAGACAAAGGTTAACAGTTATCACTTTTCACTTATCTTTATATCCCACGCGACTACAACATGGTGAGTAAATAATAAAAGTCGCCTTCTGAGACCCTATCTCTATTTTTTTTCATCGCATTTTTATTACTTTCTGCGTATAGAATATGTATATATATATACACGTTCACAACAACTGGGCTCGGGCTAAAAGCGGGGTGCGGGACGCGGGACGGACGCGGGGGACGGCGCGGCAAGCCGCCGGCTCGGCGCGGCTCGGCGCGGCTCGGCGACACTTCACTTCTTCTTCAAGCCATAGATTATACACTATAACTGGAATAGATACGCAACTCAATGATCTGTTTAAGTCGTGCGAGACTTGAGCTCCACAAGCGACGACGCTCGAACTACCCTTTCTACTTAATTGTAACCACGCCTATGTACATTTAAATTATTATATTTCATTTCATACAGTCCGGCTTAGTTTTATTTATTTATTTATAATAAAGCAACTGGTCTATCTAGAATATATTCTTGATTCAGACTTGCAGTCTTCTATATTTAGGTTCTTAAACAAGTTAGCTTCTTAGTTTACATTTTATTGTAGCCACATTTACCTATCGGCCTCCAATTTCAACCCAGAAGTTTTTTCTTGATCACAGTTCTGAGTACCCCCTTCCCATTTCTTCCCAGTTTTTTTTTGTCGATCACATTTTCATTCTGTACCTATGTGTGGGAGAGCCAAGCTTCGGATAACTGGGTCGGCGCGAAGGGAGTTATACCACCATAAGAATTAATCAGTAATTATAACAGTAGCGGTCCAGTACTTTACTCTGATTCCGATGTCTTATGCCCGGTTCCTATAATTGAGAAACGATCCGTTTTAGTTACGAATAGTAGTTTTATATACGACTCGTAAGCTAAAACCGTTCCTATAACAAACGTCTCGTCGTGCAACTTACTGACGGTTTGCAACTAACGGATGTCGGTAAGCGAATTGTATGGAGATCTATGGTGTCTGTGGTGTTCCTATAAATATTTTAACCGTCAGTAGACGGTCAAGATAACTATTCGTAATGTCATTTGGTCGTAATGCGTATACAACGACGATTCGTTAAATATAGGAACCGGGCATTAGTAGATTTCTAATTGATATGGCGTTTTTTTTCTGTTGTCGAGATTGTCTCCTAATCCCTGACGCCCAAAGCGTCTGCAACGGTGGCTGGGGTATGAGGAGGATCGTTCCTTCACATGCTTCACCTCCGTCTATTTTTTTTTGTTTTCTATTTTTATTTATTGAAAATCACAACAGTGCACAGATATTGAATTTACAATATTTTCTCACTGACTGACTGGCTGGTTTGACTGTGGGTGGTGAGCCGCATTGTTTTACATGCACTAAACTTTATAAAATAATACTAAAATTATGTCTATTCAATTATTTTTTCTAAAAATATCGTTCTAACTTAATTTTAAACAGTCTTATATTATTTTCTTGTCTGATGTATGCCGGTAGACTATTGAGCACATATAGTACACGGTTTTTTAAAGTTCTATCGCCAAAGTAATTATGCGAACATGACTACTTCGCAGGAGGAGAAGACGGCTTATCAGTTTCTCTAGCTGCGCACCACGACCTCGAACAAGGCCGATTTTCTTAAGTAAACACAAAATTTTCATGGCAATAGGGAACACAGAAAAAAATATCTAAACAATTTTTGTGCAACAGTTAATCGAGACTGGCATACATATCATCGATCCATTTTTATATAAACTATGGCAGGCTATGTCCTATTCCGGAGTGTATCCTATGCCTGTGCCAAATTTCAGCCAGATCCGTCCAGACGTTTTGGCATGATTGATTACCAAACATCCAAACGTCGTAACTTTCGCATTTATAATATTAGTAAGAAGTAAGATAAACATTAACATAAAATAATAGTCTTGTTACGAGAATGGACAAATATAAAAATTATTTACATTACGTTATATTTTATTTTGTATATTTCTTATCTGACATGTTATAGTAAATAGTGCCTAAGTAAATGACGTGGGAAGTTCAGCACTATCTCATTGTTTATCGAGATGTTTTTAACGCATCTTGTTGATGATCAACTTGGACGTAAAAGTCATTAAATACAACAGGATGGCTACATTTCCGATAGGACAAGTGTAAAGTTGTTACACGCCAATTGTCTATGAGGCCTTGGTATCACTCCGATCGAGCTAGCCCATTTTTATATTTATTCCAAAAAATACGATCACGATTGTGAATCTGGTTCAAACAATGTGGACAGGATGATTTCTACGTGTTACAATGTATGACTGCACAAAGGCTGGGCATCTGGCTAATGTGCAACGTGCCGCTGGTTCGATTCCACGTGCCAGGAGAAAATCTTAGTGAAGGGTAATGTTTAAAAATATAATTGATTTAACATTTTATATTGTGCAGAAAAAAAATGTTTTTGTGTTGTGATTCGCCGTGTGAGTAAGGCTACCGGATGCCTTATTCCTTCTCCGCCCCCATCCCCTACCAATCCTTTAATTTCCAAAACCCTTTTCTCTAAAAGGTCGCCAAGGCCCTCGTAAATCCTTAGGTGTTGCGGGTCCATGGGCGGCGCTGATTGCTTACCATCAGGTAAACCTGATTGTAAGCCGACCTAAACCATGAAAAAAGCATAAACAAGTGAAAATCATCCAATGTCTGCTCACTCCTTAAGTGTTGCGAGAGGAAGTGTCACTCGCGATAAGGCGTGCTTCCTCTCAAATAAAACCAAAGATATTGGTAGGACAAATACATACTGAATATTTGATCAAGCCTTTGCATCAACAAAGTCAAAGTATTACAAGGAAAACGTAAGGAAAAAAGAATAAGAAAACAATGACATTAGAGAATAATTGAATTAATTATTCTTAAGGTCTGTTTCACATTGAATGGATAGGCACTATCTAAAGATAAAATTTAATGCAGCACGTAATTTATGCATGCTAACGCTTCCTCAAGGCAGGCTAGGAAATTCAAACTTGTAGTCATAAAAGTTCAAGATTTTTCATCAATTTTTTCGTTTACCGTAAATGCGTGCGGCGCCAGCTTATTGGAGATTAGGGTTTCGGAGATTTAGGGATAAGAGAGGGATGTGGGAAATGGTACGATTAGAAAAGGGAGAAATAAATAGTAAGCTGGTAGAGAATGCATTAAGTCCATCTAACTTACAATATTTTGTGCATGTTATATGATCTGAGAACTTGGTGCCACAGCTTATCCCAACTACAGACAAACAAGTCCTTAAATGCAAATCCATTCTCAGCGTGCTCTGAACACAAACTTCCCTAATAGATCTATTTTTACTCAATTTTAATTATCTTACAACGCTATCGACGCGGGTGTTGATAACGGTGGCGTATTTAAGTCCAATCGGCCGGTCAAAAGCACTAGTGTGAACGTAGTATTGCTGCTCGAACGTACTGACGCTCGGTCAGTGCGCGGATGAAGCGCGTGCGCAGATCGCGGTAACAGGCCACGAAAAAAATATCGGCGAATATTTAGAAAAAAGATCCGGATAGTTTTGAAGAGATCAAGACGAAGTAGATTATAAACGTGATTCAAAAGAAGACAGGCAAAATGGCTAAGAACGAGGCTTCAATTAACATATTAAGAAAATTCGTCATAGACTGTTTTCTTCTAATTGGATGTAAGTTTTTTTCTATTACTAAGTGATTTTACGTGTTACGGATTTTTGGGCCAATGTCGAAGCATTCAGCTTTTTTTCAATAATATTTAGCGCTAGTAGTTTCGTCCAATGACCAAATTAGATTGACAAAACATAATAATTATTTATGCTCTTCACACGAGCTCTGTCTCTTCAAATAAATTACTTAAAAATTTCTAAAATATGATTATTAAGTCACTAATGTCCATTTTCAATAATATATATTTTTAACTCGTTTAGGACCCAACCGAGCAATTTTAAACGGTTGCTAATGGTTTCTGGTCGCAACTGGTGATTATAGTAATTTTCTCGGTCAACTAGCGTGACTCTAAATACCATATCGTTACAAACATAATATTGGTGTTCAGAGAATGTGTGTGGGCTGTTTTTAAAACATGAATGGAATATGTAACATTAAATAATCTTTTTGGGCCCTCTGACAGCCTCTTTGAATAAAATATTGAATTTGGGACTGGCTGGCACAGGTCTCTGGATCATAACACGATTAATTTAAAAAAATATATTTCCTCCTTCCTTTGGTCTTTATCCCCGCCTGCTCTATCTCTGTCATATTACTCCTGACACAACCTCTTTTCTTGAATTAAAATAGTACCTATGTATGTATTTCTTAGAATAGAATTTTAATTTTGAAACGTATGTTTCGCTTAAAATAATTTATTTTGCATAATTTTTTTTATTGCAATACATTATTTGCTTTGCAAATTTTCATATTTAAAATTGCAACATAATAATCTTTCTTATGAAATCGACTGGCAATTTATAAATTAAGACTTATCATCTAAGAATTTCTTAATATAGTATGTAGTATAAAAAATCAGTTTGAGCTCACTTGGGATTTTATTATAAATAAATGCTTGCCATATTTGTACATTTAGATTTAGTTCTCAACAGTTTTTTTACTTAATTGTGACTGTCCCTCGGCCTAGATATGGAGAAAAAATGGGGTTGATTTTAGTCAGTTATAGTATAACAGTTCCTCTCGCGCCTCAGGCAGAGTGAAGACATTGATTTGACGACTATCTCAAAAAACGAAAACCTAAAAAAAAAAAACTCAAAACACAGTTTTGGTAATTGATAAAAAACACTGTTAAATAAGTTTCCTTGTGTGTTTAAAAGCAAAAAAAGGGACTTGCGGCATGGTCAACAAACTTAATAATACTTAGAAACTAGTTTTTGTTTGCTATCAAACTCGTATGTCGATGTATAATCCATATATTAGGTATATATAGGTACATACATATGTACATTCCGCAAATCCTGTTATTTAGATATTCGCGAAGTTTTTTTCATTCTTTTGGCTTAGGTCACGATTTCGTATTTGTTTAATCTTTATACTAGCAAAAATTCTAATAGATAATTTATTTAATTTGAGGTGCCTACGGGTTAATATTAATTGCTACGTTTTTAAACGGCTAAAGATCGAAAAGAAAACGGTAGTATGCGCGCCTCCTATTCAATAGAATTCGTACACGAATCGGGGGTAAAGTGTAATTTTTAAATGAGGATAAATATCTGTTACTCAGTTGCTCAAAAACTATTGATATGGCAAAGATTTAGGTAGTCTAGATAATACATAGGCTACTTTTCATCCGGGTAAGCGAAGCCGCTGCTAGAACCTAGTTACGTCTTATTATTAAATTTATCTAGCGAATAGTGGCTATCCAACATGACATAGGTCCTTTTGTGTTTTATAGTATGTTGTCATTCATGTCCTAACATTAGTTTTTTTATTTCAGTGGGAATATGTCTATCTGCTATGAACATGCTTTGGGAGCCGTTCCAAAGAGGTTTCTTCTGTGGAGACCAGAGCCTCATGTATCCTTATAAAGAGGACACCGTCACAGTACTTGTTTTAAGGCTTGTTGGCCTTCTACTGCCTATATCAGCGGTGAGTGTTTATTGTTTTATGCTTAGCTTGCCCAGGATTGCAAGAGCAGGAGAAGGAACTGGGTGATTTTTAGTCAGTAAGAGTCTGACCGGCTCTCTCGCTCCACCAAGGGTAGTTCATTAGATAAATAAGTATGTATTTGCGCTCAAAAATAAATTTTGATCAGGGCGTTTTCAATCTTGTGTGATTTAGGATAAGGTAGTTTTTTTTATTTTTACTATTAATAATGGTAAGAGTTGGAAGGTGTTTGAGATGTTGCTTGAATAATTAAAAACCATTTGTCAAAGCACAGTTTTACCTTCGATTCTAATAAAAGAACATTTTAATTTTAATCAGATAACTAGTTTTGCGAAAATTAATTGGCATATTTAATGGTCGCTAACGGAACTAATGAGCTAAGAAAATATATTAATATATACCTTGGTAGATTTTTTTGGATCCAGTGCACGTTTCTGACTATAACAGTCAATCTCAATACATTGTCTGTATTCTCATAGAAAATGTCCTAAAAGTCCAACCCCAGTGCAATACGAAGGAACGGGGTACGGTTTGTGGCCAGCAAGAGTCTGATAATCCCTCTCGTCTTACCTAAGACAGGAGAAGTCATTTAATGACTTTCCACCAATTACAATTTTATATTCATCAATTAAATATGCGACAGACATATTGTGGTACTAATGGGCTGTCTCAACCGGAGTGACGACTAGAACACTGTCCATGGAAGGTGCAAGTTACGTTGTCACCCGATACTTCAAAAATAAAATGCCATAGGTTGACAAACGAGCAGACGGATTACCTGGTAGTAAATAATCAGCGCCGCCCATGAACCGTCGTATTTTCCAACTTTTGTAGGTTATTAGGGATTTAAGGATATTGGGGATTTGGGGATTTTGGGATTGAGGATGGCGAGAAGGAAGGATTGGGTCTCGGTGTGAGGCCATGGTATCACTCCGATCGAGCCAGCTAATTCGTGCCGAAGCATGGCTCTCCCACACTTACCAAAAGAAGTCAATAGTTAATAACACGTGTCCCGCTATAAGACCACGAGTATATTCATGTGACAGCAAAAGAGATAAAACATCACGTTGCTATCAATTACTATTTCTAATTACGTTCTTAACTAATTGATTAATGATGCAATTTTTATGACATGTCAACCTGCATAGTTTTCCGGGGTTGTGAGTGCAAGCGTCATAATGTAATGCGGCACGACTTGGAGCGGGATTAGAAGCGGTCGTTTTTTAGTCACTAAGAGTCTGACGCCATTCATCGTCGGGAGCTATTATTCTGAGGCGATATTCGTGCATTAAAAAAATCCTGCACATTTTTCTGCCATTTATTTCAAAACTTTGCTCTATACTAAACAAAAAAAAAGACAAATCATTTCAAAATGTGAAATTTTCATTCCTTTGTTTACCTAACTTTTCACACAAAAAAGGGCAGGAGAAATCAATGAAAGAAAATGTCACTATATGATTTAGTGATATCAAATCCACAGACAGACATCAAAGACACATGAAAACGCATATGTTATTGGATATAATTAACTTAAACCAATATAAGATAAAAAAAAATATCTTTTACCTTATAGAGATAAAATAATTCATATGAAAAAAGGTGACTAAAAAGTATAACGTCCTGTGGCGATATTAGTAATAATTATCAACAATTAGCTGACACGGCAAACTTCGTATAGTCTTAAAATTAAATAATGTTTTCTCACCTTTTAAACCTTCCCTGGACTTCCACGAATATGTATTTCAAGAGCAAAATTAGCCAAATCGAATCAGTTATTCTCGAAATTTTGTGAACAAACAGCATTTCGTTTATATTAAGATTAATCCTTCTGATAAGTAAATCGAAATTATTTAGGAATAAAAATAACGTTTTTTTTTTTTATATTTTGAAAAGACAAACAAAATTATTCTTTCGATTACTTTTTTTTTGATTGACTTATTTCATCATCATTTTAGACATTTGAATTCGAATATTGAAATTACAAAACTTACTCCAATTCTGTTGCTATTTTTTTTTTTTCGAAAAGTGTCATCTGTCTATTTCTCTGTGTACATTTAGCAATCGTATGATCGTAGTGGCACATCCAGTAATTATTCAATTCTACGTCTGTGGTGCCTTCCTCTGGTATTGAATGCAGCGACCGACAGAATGCACTTATCCTATTACTAGCAATACACCACTATAACATGCACTATTAATGAGAAATATCGCTCATGGAAAATACCAAGGCTCCAATTGGTTGATCATTGGGAAAATTGGATTTTGAACTACAATAAAGTGATATTAAAGTTCAAATCTAACCAACTCTTCCTATATAAGTCTAAGTACAAATATGATTACATAAGTGTAATAACAAATTTGATACAACAGACTTATTTGCTTCGTTCCCCCCCAAAAAAAATAGAGAACCGAAAGAAATAATTTTTTTTTCAGGATGATAATATAAAAAAAAACTCAATTGTATTGTCGAAGAAATAACCGTCTTCTTTTTTGTCAAGGGAAAATTATCAAATGACTTCTCTCGCGCATGGTAAAGCGTCAGACTCTTAAAAAACGCACCGTTCCTTCTCCTGCTCTAGTTCGAGGCCGCGGTACCTTATTGCGCTTGTTCGGAACCTCAGCTGAACATTGGCCCTGTGGTGGTCTATTGGCTCTTTGAGGCGTGCGAGAATCGTTACGCGCCGTGCGCTTGGAAGAAATAAACGTCTGACGTCACGTTATGTTTGTACCCTACGACACGTGCGTCAAGCCAATCAGTAATGTGCAGTCATAATCACCCATTGTTACCCTCAAATGAATGGCATTGCCCACTAATCACACAGTTTCAATGACGAGTTCATTTCTTATGACGACGACATCATTTGAAATCAATAGTAATAATAGGTCGGTAAAAGTGTAATTGTTTATTTTAACGTGTAACTAATAACTGGTCCGCTTGATTGGTTACCGTAATTGCAAGTTTATTGAAGCGAAGTTAGAAATAGTTGATAAGATTTATTTGTTCTGAGAGAAAATCGTTTCGAAGTTAAAAACATTTGCCATTATTGAATGGGTGACTGCATTTTATGTTATTGTAGAGGTTTTTATAGCAATGGTTAAAATTTGATTCAATTCTATTTTCGTATATGATACACAAACGAATCTACGATTTGCAGCAATCACTGACTAATAAACTGAAAATTCTATTATGGCATTTTTAAATTTCCTATTTTTGATTTGTTACAATAGCTGCTTTGACTTTATATCTATATATTTTGTCCTCAGTTTCTAATATGTGAGTGGACACTCCTGCATAAGGTGCACGACAGTGAGCGGTGCCTGGGCGTACGCATCCCTGTTTGGGTGCGCGGGTTCTACAGCACTCTCGTCTGCTTCGCTCTCGGAACCTGCTTCGTTGAAATCGCTGTTAACATCTCCAAGAATGTCATTGGAAGACCTAGACCTCATTTCTTTGATGTAAGTCTCATTCAATGTTTAAAAGTCCCCTAAAAATTTGATAAGCTTACAAAGACCTTGCGGATAGCAGCCAGGAACTAAAAGGGAAATTAGTAATGTATATTATCATCCTTATCTCTATGTTATTTGGATGCTTTACACTTTCACTGTCCATAAAATAGACACAATATCTAAACAATAGTTGTAAGTCATATGTGATTCCTTGGACAGGGAAATGGTTAATAAGACCTTTTAGTCCTTTGGATAACAAATCTCGCGTTTGATGTTAAAAACTTCACAATAAGAAACTTATTATATTTCTAGCATTTCTTATTATATCGTATTCAGAAAATAATCGATACCTTGGCATTCCACCAAGGATTTCTAGTGTTAGATAGTTTATAACACATGTAAAGTAACGACTTACGTTCAAGGTGAATTTTGAAGTATCAGAAGTATTCTAAGAAACAAACAGTAGCATTCACTACTACTGGCATAATTGGAAGATTAATTTTATAAGTGCTCATACTATCTAATGTAAGATAAATGTGTTTTAGAGAAGCAATTAAATAATGTTATGGACCCTTATCAATACAATTCAATATATTTCTTGAATTATATGTATTACTGACAGAACCTAATTCAATAACAATAGGCGTTCCTCAAGGTTTAATTCTGGGTCCATTCCAGTTTTTACGCTTACGATGATAATTTTTCACAAATTTCTCTGACAAAACAGATAAATCCTCCTTGTAAATAATACCGATTGTTTACATAACTTTCGTAAAATAACTGTAACATTTATAAAACGCACCGGTATAATAAAAGAGGAATAAAATGCGTTATTAATTGTTACGTCATGAGCCTTTATTTCCTGGATTATGTGTATTGACATGAAATGACGTACTTAGGAACTTCCTTATTTATGTTATCGTAAATCTTTATTTACTTATCGAGACTTATCGGACCCGTTACGTATTTTATAGTTATTACATTATTATTTTAGTTGTTACGTGTATCTGTAACTGCATAGCGCAATGTTTTGTGTTCAATTCCAAATTTGTTTATGAAATTACAATCGCTTCAACATCAAGCAACCTCGATCCGTAAATATTCTTCATAATTTTTATATTGCACATCTCCCATCCTTTTTAATTAGCTACTAATTCTTCTCTTCCAGGTCTGCCGACCATCAATAAATTGCAGCTCCTCGGAATGGAAGGACCGGTACATCCAGTCAACTGATTACACGTGCACAGGACTTAACACTGATCGGTTTGAGGACTCACACAGGAGTTTCTTGAGTGGTCACTCCGCTTGGGCAGCGTACACAATGTTATATTTGGCTGTAAGTGTCTGCATTATACTTTAGACTTTCGCGTTGCATATTAATACTTTACTATTTTACGGGATTTAACGCGCACGTACCTTTTATTTTGTTTTTTGCTTGTCGTTTTGTAAGTTTCTGCTTAGATATCCTGCAAGCTATTATTTGAATTTTACTATAATTTTTAATATATTATGTCTGTTATTTATTTTGATTTTAATTATTCGTTTTCGTAATCTTATTCTAAGACGCTCTTCTAAGCGTTGTTGTTATTGACTTACTTAAATATCAATAAAGACTCTATAGCCTTTTTCTAACAAGTTCCATCTAATGAACCAATATCTTCTTTCAGCTGTACCTAGAAAGTCGGATGACGTGGAAGGGGACCAGGTCCCTGCGCCACGCCCTTCAGTTCATAGCTGTGATGCTGAGCTGGTTCACAGCGCTGTCGAGAGTCACTGACTTTAAACACCACTGGAGTGACGTACTTGCTGGGTACTCACTCGGGACGGTGTTTGCTGTTGTCATGGTCAGTATTAAACACCCTTGCTTTTTTAATTATAATATAGTAGTAGGTAGATTTAAAGTTCTAAGTTCTGTAGCAGATTTTCTAGCTTGTTAAAAAGTTTTGATATTTTTTCTTCTACATAAATTTGGTGTAATTTAATATAAACTTCCACATCGTCAGCGTAAATAATATGTGTTGTGTTGCCTTTTTGACTGCACGGTTGGCGTGGCGGAGCAATGTGTTTTCGGTTCACGTTGTCCCATGTCAACAAATTTTTTTCCGGGTCTGGGTACCTACTTATCATGTTCATGTGAAATTGTATATTTGTAAACGTACTCACGACACAGGAGAAAATCATAGTGTGGGGCAACGTTTTTACAACAAAAAAGACAATAGCTTTAAAAGTATACATATAAATATATATTTTAAGTACTATTATAATTTTATTTGAATGTCACTTTTAGTAAATAAAATGGCAGCTTACCGTCTACTGGACCTCTGAGAGTCATTGTCTTGATAAGATCTAAATAATTAACATTATTTTTAGCTTTACAATCATCTTAATTAACCTGTTTACATACCTACGTTTTTAATTGTGTAGGTATACTATTGGACGTGCCTAGATCAACAGCCAGTCATTGACCCATGTCTCTTGTTTACAATATTTTCAAAATATTTACATATTTTAATGGTCTTATATCAGTAATGAAGCAGTATCATTCACCTGCATCGCATGATAATAGACTAGCTTCCCGCTTGTGACTTTACCCGAGAAAAAATTATAATTCGTCTGTAGAACAGATCCCAGTAGTATAGGAAACTGGATTTTTCTTTTAGAAAAACTTATCTATAAACAAGGATTTTGTTTTGTCCTGTGTCGTGGTTGCTTTTACAAACAGACAATTTTACATACGTGTGAAACCCAGACCTGCAACAACAGTTAGTGGATGACACGAAGAGTTGTTTCATGCTGGCTATCCATCCACCGCGTCAACCGTGTAGCCACTATAATTACTATAATAATATGGAAACTACTATAATAGCACTTTAAAAATATTTCTATTGGTTTTAAATAATCAAACTAGGTTCAGCATTTTCGGAGTATATACCTAAAGAAGTCAAACGAACAAAGAATACAAGTAAAACGACATCTACAATGATAATAATATATTTTTTATAATTCTAATCTTCTTATATATAAAAATGAATCGCAAAAAGTGTTGGTAAGCGCATAACTCACCAACGCCTGGACCAATTTCGCAAATTCTTTTTTTGTTGTGTTTGTTATTGTCAGGAGAAGGTTCTTATCAAAGAAAATATTAGAAAAGTAGAGGGGAAGATTAGGAAAAAGTGACCCTTTGATTGCGAGATAGTTGGACCCGTGCGAAGCTGGGGCGGGCCACTAGTATTAGTATAGATTGAATCAACTTTGATTTTGGTTTATCGATGTTATTCTTTTAACCTATTAACACTTCGGTATTGTTGACAAGAAATGGTACACTCAACTTATTTATTGTAGATTTGATCTGTAAACAATATAATTATAAATAACCAATAATAAATAAATCTATACTTATATTATAAAGAGCTAAAATTTGTAAGTTTGTATGTAGGGGGTAATCTTTGGAACCGCTGGTCGGATTGCCAAAATCAGGAACATTGTAGCTGTCTTTCACTGACAGATAGCTACAATGTTCCTGAGTGCTATAGGCTATAAAACATCACGCTATGGTCAAATGGAGCAGCGGATGCAACCGCGCAACAATAGCTAGTTGTTAATAAAAGCGTGCTAAAGATGACAGAGCCAACATTTACATAGATATGATATTATGATCAAATTATAAGTGTTTAAGCATTCAAATATATTAAAATTAAAGTAACACAAGTGCTACCTACATAACAATTTAATGGGTATATTGTGTGGATATATAATTTTAAATTTGTTAATTATAATTTATGACTATTACATATTATGATTGTTTCTAAACAAAATTTTAGCAACATTATACTTACCTACTATTATATTTCTCTGCAGCCACCCTTAAGGTTGACTGAAAGAGCATTCGGTATTAAGTTCGTCTGTGTTTGATGATACGAAGTGTTAATTATTTTTTTATTTTCACGTAACAGCTATCTACAGTATATTCTAAATTCTTTTATTTTAACAACACTACAACCTACATCATCCAAATGTATTATCAGCTGAGGGCTGCACCCATTTCGTAAACATGGGCCACTGCACCCATTTCGTAAATAATAATTATAATAAGAAACATAACTTTATTACTGTTAATAACACAATAATTATGGTATAGGCATTTAGTAAAAGGTCTCAAACGCCATTGCTTTTCTAAATAAACATGCTAAATTATTATTTTCTTTTATTTCCAGTGGGTATGGGGCACAGACGTAGTTCAGAAGAAGAAGAACAACAGCTCGTTGCCGCAGTTCGAAATTGCTATCACCAACCAGTCAATGCCGCCACAACGTTAAAAAACAGTTTTACTTAACTAAACTCTAATTAACTATTCACGATTAACTTCTTTTGGTATATGAATTTAAGTCTCACTAGCGCCATCTCATGGGCACTCTAAGGAACTATTCACGATTGACCTATTCTGGTAAAAGCCTTTAAGTTTCACTAGCGCCATCTCTTGGGCACAATTTCTCACTAAGCTGTCAGACTTGTGAATCTCAATGCACGGTCAAACCACTAAAAACAGTCTTCTATTGCTATCCACGGTTAAACTACTAGCATATTCTACTTTAGAGCGGTTTTGCATAATATGAACTGACGTGGTATAACTGCTGTGATTTGCCGTAAAAGTTAGGATAGCGGAGGCTCAATCCCTAACCGCCAAAAGCCATCACCCACTGGTTTTGCGGTTGTCTATAGGCGGTGATGATTGCTTATAAGCAGATCAATATCCTCGTTTACCTATCCCTTAAAAAACTCTGCAGTTATTGCATGCTCTATTGTAGTAAGTAGTTTAAAATGTTCAAGTTTATCATAAAGGTCTTTTGCTTGATCTTTGTCAAATAATAGTCCCTTACTAGGTGGTCATTGGTGGACACGGCACCATTGTATTCTTCTGGTAGATTCTGCCAGCGGCTTCATCCGCTGTATCCGTTCAAATATCCATCTATTAAGGCTTATAAACGTTCGCGTTTATTAAAATATTAGTAGTACTACGCCGTAAGTCATCACATCACAGTTTCTAATTTTCTTCAGAAGATCTAAAAAGGAAGTAAATCGTGAATACTTTTGTTTAGATATGTTAACAACTAGTTATTTTTGTATAATAGGCTGTGCAATATAAATAATACAAACGTTGTATCAACGTTTAGATTTAAAAAGAAATATTATTTAATATGATAATTTAGGATTATTAATGTTATTTAAATAAATTCTCATTAATTATTTTATAAGAAAATTTTTCTTGTGTACTTTTATTTCTTTTTACACACATTTAATTTGTAAGTTATGCCAGTTCTGGCCTCCACCAAATCACCTGGATGACCGGTATGATCTTCCGGCGGCGGTATTCAAGAACCGACCTTCAAACCTTCAAGAAACGAACGTACCTACTCGTTTTTAAAAGGCCAGCACTGCAACTGTAACTACTCTGGCGTTGCAGAAAAGAAAAAAGAGGCCATAGTAGGCCTGTTTTTTCTTCCCCATCAGAGATCATCACATCAAAAACTCCTGTTTTCTTTGATAATAATGTATATACGATCAGTGCTGCGTGTAGCTACAAGCGAAATTAAGTAAGGTCTAACACGCCCCATCCAACAACAAGATTTTCAAGGATATTCCATTCCTCAAAAAATCTATCGGTAAACTCTTTGAAAAGTAAGATTGAACACCAATATTAAACTCAGTGTTTAAAAAATTGTTTACTGGAGGAATAGAACAAAAAATATGAATGTGGTGATAAAATAGACGACATTGAACTTGAGAAAAAAACTAGGTCAGTTAATTTAACCTTTAGGTACTTCTAGAACAGATAAAGCAAAATGGTGCTAGCTATATTATTTTACTCCATTCTATTTTACTACTTACCTGGTGACTAGTACTTAACTGTCTCCAAAAGGTCGACAATTAACTTTTAACTCCTTGATATCATTGATGTTTTTTTATGATATAGGTCGTCAAACGAGCAGACGGATTACCTGATGGTAAGCAATCAACGCCGCCCATGGACACCCGTAACAACAGGGGAGTTACGAGTGCGTTGCCGACCTTTTAGGGATTAAGGATTTGGAGATTAGGGATGGAGGAGGGATTGGGGGAGGAGAAGGATTGGGGCTCTCTATGGCTCCGGTTATGTTATAGGTTGGCAAACGAGCAAATGGATTACCTGATGGTAAGCAACCAGCGCCACCAAGGACACTCATAGTACCAAAGGAGTTACTACAAATGCTTTGCCGGCCTCTTGTGCATTATTAGGGATTTAAGGATAGGAGATTTGAGGATTAAGGATGGGGAGAGGTCTCACAATTTTGCAATCCACAAAAACTGATGTAGGTAGGTATGTACTATCACAAATGTAAATAAGAAATTTTAACATAAATAGGTGAATGCTACCGTTTCTTGGACCCTTTAGTTAGAAATACTTCTCAATTGACTGCCACGTTGTCGTGGTGGCCCGGAGGTTAAGGAGCCCGATTCTCATGCATGAGGGTGTGGGTTCGAAACCTGGCAAGTACCAAATGTGGCTTTTTCCGAATTATATGTACTTTCTATGATTTTAGACACCACTGGCATTCGGTGATGGGAAACATCGTGAGGAAACCTGGGCTTATAATTTCTAATTATAAGTTTGAAATCGCCAACCCGCATTGAGCAAGCGTGGTAATTAATGCTCTAACCTTCTTCGTATGAGAAGAGGCCTTCGCTGAGCAGTGGGTATAGGCTGATGATGATGATGACCGTCACGAATTCACCTTGTATTCATTTAAACTCCTGACAATAAATTCATAGCAATACATCAGTCCCGTATTCGTAGCAACATTTTTAAACAAGGTAAAACTTTCATACACTGTATTTAATGAAATTCACTCCTCAAATTTTATTTACCCCATTTTCCGGTATAATATCACTACTATAAACTGAGTACCCTCATAACAATAAAAAAGGAGTCAGGATTTGAGCCCAGTGCCGTATGCTCAAATCCTCATACAAACTGCAGAATAAGGTTGCAGACCTTGACAGCAGTCTCGATCTCACTGCATGACGTTCTCTTCCTTTCCATCCAGTCAATTTAAATTCAGCACCCGCTTTGTGCCATGATGATCGTGGTAGCCTGGAGGTTAAGTGATGCTTCTCATGCATGAGGGTTCACTTTTAAAACCTGGCAAGTCGGTACCAGTGTGACATTTACGGAGTTATATATATACGGCAAAGAAAAACATCGTGAGGAAACTTATACCTAAAATTTATAATTATAAGTTTGTAATCGCCCATTGGTTTTGAGCAAGCTTTGCAATTACTACGTGTGAGAAGAGGTCTTTGCTCAGCAGTGGACACCATAGGCTATCGATAATAAGGACGATTTATCAAACACTAATGAAGGTACAGCAAGAAACGCCAAGTAATCTATAGAATCTAGCAATAATTAGATCGTGTTAATTTAATTAAGAGGTAATTGAACTGTAATCGCAGATGATCGCGACGTAGTTAGGAAATGCGGTCAGAATGTTTGTTGCGATTTTCCAGCAAGGAATGCAAGTAGATATACTGGTTCTTGAAGATAGTGGAGATGTAACTGCTGCAATAGAAATATCATCATTTAATTTTATGATAGTATCTTGTACATAGCACAGCTATTTCTTTTAATTAAGTCCAACAGGATTCCAAAGACGACTGACTATAAGTAAGTAAAATAATAAATGAATATATTTTAGAATGATTGGCTATTTGTTTTAGTTATGTCAGTTATACTACGGCCTCATAGATTACAGGCGTGATAAAACGATTGCATTGTTTGTTTCGCCGTGTGAGTAAAGTTGGCGTACCTACCTAGTCTTCCCCCTATTCTCAATTTCTAAATCCCAAAAAGACGACAAGTCTTCTCATGGTGCAGGTAGATTTCTACTGATTACTTACCTTCAGGTGATCCGTTTACTCGTTGACACATACTCATTGGCTGACCTATCCATTTAAAAAAGTTAGGGCTCTATTTAGTGAGGAAGCTAAGATTACAGAACGAAGTATCAAAACTATGAGTATCTTTAAATGTTTTGTTTTTGGGAACAGAACAGAGTAAAGTTCCCTTAGATAAGAAGAGGAGGATACTCCGACCTGACGAGGCGATGACGCCTGGCGGGCTACTGTTCAACAATCGTACGTTGGGATTTTCGCGATATAGGATTTGTAACGTTACCTGTTTGTTGTTTAAGTGAAATGCGTGAGGGAGCTATCCTCCTCATGCCCCATCCGCCACAGAAGGAGATACTAAGGGCGCCAAGGATCAAGCGACGACTTCCAGAAACCGTAAGCACGATTTGAACCAGACCCGAGCGTACAACGCGTAGCGTTACTCGCTCGCCTTAGAGGTTGGGGGTTGCAGGTCCAGCGCGATGATGTACCGCTGCCTGAGACTAGTGTAGAAGAAGGAACGGGTTAGTTCCTAAGAATCTTACATTCTCTCTTACCCTGGCCAGGACGAGAGAAGAAATTTGATGAATTTCGTCTCAAATAAATGTATTAATTGTTTATCGTCGATCTTCTATGTGCGTCACATTATCAGAGAATTAATTATTATTTAATTATATTTTGGCTTACTCACGCTATAATTTGACGAGATACTCGACTAGTTTCAAGCCATGCTAGAGGCCCATATTCAGCAGCGCGACAGCACGCCGAGTCGCGTGAATACATATAATAAACATAATAATTAATTTAGAATGCCTCACGAAAGTTATAATAAAAAAAATATCAGATAAATACACTTAGAGAACAACGTAATTTGGTTGCCGATAACCATTTAGTTGTTCTCAGTTTTGTTGGCTGATAAACAATCCTATGGTAACTTAACAAAACAGGACTCTACGAGTTACTACTACTACTACTTTTTGATCAAATCTACCACAGCACTGAAAATTAACTAACAAGCTTGATTGTCGTTCAGTCCCGTTCAGTAATTGCATCATGAAACCTAAGTAGCTCTACTTAGGTTTCATGAAGTCACTTAGGCTTCATTGTCTTTTAAAGAAACCAAATTCGACACGAGTTGAAATGTACGATTCTAATCATAAGCTTGCCATATATAGTGACACGTATTTGTAGTTTAATTTAATAAATGTTTATGGAATCTAAAAAAAACATTAACATTTTGTATATCAAATAATAAATTGATAATTTTGGGTCATCTTAATAGAAATGCTACATACTTACTCGTTGATGTCTTTTCTATAGAGGAACTTCTGATTAGTTTTCCGGATACTAGGAAAATATAATTAGAAAATACTTATTTATTTGTTACTATTAGTTTGGTTAAAAAGAAAGATATTGAAGAGAAGTTTTTTAATTACTATTGAAAATAAAATTTACAAAAACTACTAAATCGGTAAAAAAATCTTAATCAGAAAGTTTAACTGTAAGGGCATCGCACCACACTATTAACATACAATTAAACACAATAAGAAACGAATCCCTAGGCCTTACGGGGCATTATTTCACCGTCCACCATACTTTGACCATCATTTTACAATACCTGCTTCAGAAACCAAACAAAAATCAACTTTAAACACACGAAAGTAAAATTCATATCACCTTTATACGTGTTGATGGATAAGTTAGTTTATCGTTTTAGGAAATTCAACTTTATTTTTGGAGCTGGAAAGTGTAAAATATGCTGTGGATGGTGTGTGAAGAGGCTCGCGTAAGATTGGTAAAGTTTACTTTCGCCGGCGGGCGATGTCGGTCGGAATGCCCGATGTGCCGACTAGCCACACTGCCGTGTCTACCACTTGGCCATAGAATATATTCAGATGCAGACGGGTAAATAGGTAATCTTAAAACTGGCAACATAGTATACTGCCTTTTCCTTTATTTGTGTGGGTGGCGTAGTCATTTGGTATGCAGGTTCGAAATTGAAGATTGAAATGGTACAGAGAAAGTAACTACTGGTTGATTAATAATTCAATAAATAAATAAATAATCAATACATTATTTAATTAATCATCAGACCAATTAATATTTTATTAATTTTTTGAACCACATACCGCTATGCTAATATTTATAAACTACAATACCACAATACCAATACATATGTAATTTTCTTAAATACACATCAAATAATTATGGAGAGATTCCAGGTTAGAAGATTGTGCACGTGTGTCTTGTTTTA